GATCCTTCCCTGACGGATGAGGAGGCTGCAGCATGAGCATTTTAATAACCTGGCCGTTTCCATGCAGTTCTTATGTGGCACAGCCAGCATTCAACCCAGGCTACTGGGTCTCTGAACCTACATGTTATGTCAAAGCCATCCCAAGTTCCTGTGAAGTCAGCTTCTGGGCAACCCTATTCAAGATGACACTTGTCCTCACCACATTCAGCCTTATGCCAGTTACATGTTTTGCCCCAGCAGACAGAAGACACGAAAGAACAGAACCAGGCTGTCCTAGTACCATGGGATCCCTTCAGAGAACAGTCATTGCCTTCATGAATAAATACACACACAAATGCGACTTCATACTGGATTCTCCTGGCAGCTCTCAGAAGCCAGTGTTCCAACACAGAAGCCGCTCAAGGTCCGGGCACACTCCAGTCCTTGCCTTGAAGACAGGACTCTGCCTCTCTCCACTCCTCAGTACCTCGTCTACCTCTGACTTTAACCCTTAGCTGCTGACTGTATCAACAAACACTTTGCTAGTTGTAAACACTGCCCCTTACACTGTTTCCCAGCCTTTGGTCCTACGCATAGACTTGCATCAGTCAAAGCTTTCAAATGGTGCCAGGCACTGATCTGTACTGGCTCTTAAGTGTTGTAGAATATTATTTTAAGCCGTGTTACTTTTGTTCATGTTGCATTTGTTCAACTCTGTAAAGCTGCATTACTTTGCCTCTCTAAAACACCTGATGGTCTAATAAAGAGCTGAATGGTCAATAGCAAGGAAGGAGAAAGGATAGGTGGGGCTGGCAGACATAAATAATTGATAGACGGAGCTATCTGGGAGAGGAAGAAGTAGTCAGAAAAGGAGGAGGACATCAGGGACCAGCCATCCAGCTACACAGCTGGCCATGGAGTAAGATCACAGAAGAAAAGGAAAAAGCCCAGAGGCAAAAGGTAGAAGGGTAATTTAAAGTTAAGAAAAGCTGGCTAGAAACAAGCCAAACTAACACTGGGCATTTATAATTAAGAATAAGCCTCTGTGTGTGATTTATTTGGGAGGCAGGCCCCCCAAAAGGTAAAGGAAAAAACAAAACAAAACAACCAACAACTTTTAAGGCCAGCCCCTAATGCACCCATAGACACAGCTAGGCTCAGACCACCTGGAGCTGGAGGTGAAGTATGACTCCTCTGGGTCTTCTTGGTACTTCCTCCTTGGCTTTGCCAGTGTAGGCGACTCCTGCTCGATGGTCTGCATGTCTGAAGTCACAGAATGGGAGATGCCACTTGGGGACAGAATAAAAGAGGAAATATTACATCATTGGCCTCCTAAAGGCTTTTGTCTTACCAAACAAAAGAATGCTTTAAGCTGATCTGGAGGGCTGGGAAACCCAAGGTGAACTAGAAGTCATTCTGAGGGTTGGACCAGGAAGAAGACAGCCACAATCATGGGGTGTGGCGGGGGCACCCACTCCAGTGCACATGTCGTGGAAACTCAGACCCATTTCCTTCTCTCCAAGAACCATGTGAGCCATCACACACACACACACACACACACACACACACGCCTCATGTAGCCTAGGCTAGTCTTAAACTAGCTATATAGCCCAGGCTGGCCTTGATATTGCTGATCTTTCTGTCTTTACCTCCTGATGCTAGGATTAGAGGCACACCCACTATATTTAGCTTTACCCCCAACTATTTTGTATTTGTTGTTTGTTTTGAGACAGGCAGGGACTCTTGTAGCTCAGAATGACCTTGGGTGAAGCCCCAATCTTGGTTTCTATGGTGCTGGGGATCCAACCCAGGGCTCTGTGCACATCTACCCATGAAGCCCCAGCCCCAGCCATAATATACCAAATACCAACGCAAAGCCAGCCAACCAGGAAAGGAAAGGCACCAAAGAAATGCCTCTGAGGCTGAAATGAGCCCCTAGACCCCTTCACTGTGGGCAAAGGGCACCGGGCTGAACCCGCCAAGCGGACCCTACCTCCGGCAGCTTCCAAAGCCCATGCCCAGCCTCTCGGCTTCCACCTTCTTCTGGCCGCTCAGGTTCAGTTTTTCATCCTTCTTCATGTGAATGTCAAGATCCTTGTAGGCCAATCGTAACGACGAAACACTGCTGGGAAAAGCACACGCTCACTAGTGCAGCTTTAAACCACACTCCTACATTAAAACCATAGGCAGAGCGGAGACGTGAAATTCCTCTTTCAGCTCTGTCCTCCTCTAGGTAGCACACTTGACAGAATGCTGCCTTCAAGTCTTTCTCAAATACAAGTTCAGGACTTTATGGCTGCTCTTCTGATTGTCTGGTACCATACCGAGTGCCTCAGTTACTTCCCACCCAGGATCCTTCCTTTGACTGACATCTGATTACACTTCCCTGAGACATAACAGTGTGTGAGGTTAGTAAACTTGTCTACTGTGTCTACTATTTAAGATGAAAATATTGTCACTCCGGGCGATCTGATGCTCTCTTCTGACCTCTACAGGCACCTATACAAACATGCAAACTCTCACATTCAGAAAGACAGCACACATGCAATTAATTTTTTTTAATATAAAAAGATAAATATATATCTAAAATTGATTTCATAAATATATAAATCATTAGCTGTAGTTCAAATAATTTCCTGTAGTGTCTCTATTTATCAGGCTACTGAGAACATTTGAAATGGATGGTCATTACCCACCCAGCCACTGTCTCTAGCTTTAAAACCATTTCATTATTGTGTGCATACATGTTGTGTGTGGGATAAGGCACATGTATATGGCGTGTATGTGTGTGGAGGTCAGAGGACAACTTATGAAGTCAGTTCTCTCCTCCCACCAAGGGTTCCGGAGATTGAACTGAGGTCATCTGTGAATCATTCCATGAGTCCTAGCCATACCCCGATTTCTATTAAAAAGGGCACCACTGTGCCTGGAAGTTGTGTGCACATTACCCTTGCTCCCAGGCTTCAATGAGCGCAAGCCGTACCTGAGCTCATCTAGAAAGCTATGCCCCAGCAGCAGGACACTCGGTGCCGTGAGAAGTGACATGCCTACCATCTGCCTCCCAAAGCCCTGGACAGCGCCAGGGGCCCCTCACCAGCAAGCCATCAGAACCCTGTGCAGAGGCAACTCCTGTGTCGAGGCAGGAGACACACCCGGGAAACTCTACTCCCGTTTTTGCTCTTTCCTTCTTGTAAGGAGATGTGGGGGTTTCCCGGGTCAGCTCTGGCCCGGCAGGTGTCTCACTATCATCTCCCTTAGCAAACCAATGGGAAACACCAGCTTTCTTTCAAGTCAGATCTCATCAACTGCAGCAGCAGCAGCAGGGCCTGGGGATGAATGGAAGAACCAGAAGACCCTGGCAGGGGCTCTCTGAGGACTCCTGACCAGGGGCTCCCCTCGCTCCCGGCAGGGGCTCTCTGAGGACTCCTGACCAGGGGCTCCCCTCGCTCACAAGCATGAGTTCTCCGCTCTGCGAAGGCAGAGGATGCTCACAAGGGCTGTAGGATGCTCACAAGCCACCAGCGTAGCCAGCCAGGACGAGGCTGCAAAGGTCCTTAGCTTCACAGTGTGACTGTGTAGGACATGCTGACTCTCCACTGAGTCTTGCACTGTAACTATTCACAATCACTAGAAACATCAGCTTCCAGGCTTCACCCTCACTTTTCCCTGGTGAACACAGAGCTGGGACAGGGTGAGACAGGTCTGCACAGCAGAGACAGGCGGTCAGTCACAGGATGTCCTGGAGAAGGGCAATCAAGCTGCTAAACTGGGTTCCCGAGTCAATCATTCCTTCCCTCCCACCATGCATCTCTGCACAGAGGCTTTCTGCACGTCTGGCCAAGGCTCTACCCACATGCTGTGGGATAGTTGTGCACTGTGCGAAGACGTGTTGCTGTGATGGTGTAATAAAAAGCTGAATGGCCAATAGCAAGGCAGGAAATATAGGTGGGACTTGTGGGCAGAGAGAGAACTCTGGGAAGAAGAAAAGGCAGATTCACCAGTGAGACACAGAGGAAGCAGGGTGTGCAGTATGGAGATGAGGTAACAAGCCACGTGGAAAATCACAGATTAAAATATATATATATGGGTTAACTTAAGTTATAAGAGCTAGTTGGTAACAAGCCTAAGCTAAGGCTGAGCTTTCGTAATTAACAGTAAGTCTCTGTGTTGTATTGCGGGCTGGTAGCCCAACAAGAAAGTACCACTACACCCACAAGCTGCAAGCCAAGCCCTCATTCATGTGTTTTCAATGAATTAAGGACAGACACATGGACGGTGGGTGTGGCCAGCATCCCATGCTAACCTCCCTGTGCCCTGCTTCTCCAGCCTCCTGAGCACACAAAGGAGGGTGTGGGTGCACCCCACAGCTCTTATCTCACCAGGCTTTTGAGATTACTTCAAGCCCCAGCAGCACAGGCAGAGTCACTTCCAATCAGCTGAGCTAACCTGTTTCTGCCCTGGTCAGAAAGCAATGACAAGAGAAATTCAAGTCTGACACTCCATCCCTGTCCCAGAGAAAGTCTGTCTACACAGGTCAGTGCTGCCCCTGGCGTTCTGAGAGCTCCACAGGGAAATAACAATCTCAAACCACCAACACCAGCACAAACAGGGGCAAGTCGCACTGGCCAAGCACCTACTGTGTGACAGCTGACTGACTGAGCTCCTCCTGAGCCCCAGGGACTGTGGTCAGGATTTCAATAAATGTCATCTGTCATCTGAAGTGTACCTTGAAAGAACCTCACAAAACAGGGTCATTTATTTTGCTCATTATACAATGGACGGCAATTCCAGCTAAACAGATAAAAAACACAGGAAGAGACCCCACAGAAGACAGTCCACATAGAAGTAAGACTCCATGGAAGACAGTCCACACAGAAACAAGACTCCACAGGAGGTAGTCAACACAGAAACAGGACACCACAGAAGACAGTCCACACAGAAATAAAACACCACAGGAGACAGTCCACACAGAAACAAGCACCACAGAAGACAGTTCACACAGAAATAGGACATCACAGAAGATGGTCTACACAGATATAAAACAGAACAGGAGACAGTCCACACAGAAACAAGCACCACAGAAGACAGCTCACTCAGAAACAGAACAGCACAGGAAATGGTCCACACAAAAACAGGATATCTCAGGAGACGGTCCACACAGAAGCAAGTACCACAGAAGAGAGTCCACACAGAAAAAAGATTCCACAGAAGACGGTCCACACAGAAAGAAGACTCCACAGAATATATTCCAAACAGAAACAATCACCTCAGAAGACAGTCCACATAACACCAGGAAATCATATGAGACAGTCCACACAGAATCAAGAACCACAGAAGGCAGTCCACACAGAAAAGAGACTCCACAGAAGACACTCCACACAGAAACAGAACACCACAGGAAATGGTCCACACAAAACCAGGATATCACAGAAGACAGTCCACACAGAAACAAGCACCACAGAAGAGAGTCCACACAGAAAAAAGATTCCACAGAAGACAGCCCACACAGAAAGAAGACTCCAGAGAATATATTCCACACAGAAAAAATCACCACAGAAGACAGTCTACACAAAACCAGGACATCAAAGAAGATGGTCCCCACAGAGACAATCACTGCAGAAGACAGTCCACACAAAACCAAGACTCCACAGAAGACAGTCCACACAGAAAAGAGACTCCACAGAAGACAGTCCACACAGAAACAAGACTTCAGAGAATATATTTCACACAGAAACAAGACATCACAGGAGAAAGTCCATACAGATACAAGTACCACAGAAGATGGTCCACACAGAAATAAGACATCACAGAAGACAGTCCACACAGAAACAAGACTCCACAGAAGACACTCCACGCAGAGACAAAACATCACAGGACACAGTCCACACAGAAATAAGACATCACAGGAAATAGTCCACACAGAAACAAGACTCAACAGAAGACACTCCACGCAGAGACAAAACATCACAGGACACAGTCCACACAGAAACAAAACATCACAGGAGACAGTCCACAAAGAAACAACCACCACAGAAGACAATACACACAAAAACAGGATATCACAAGAGACAGTCTACACAGAAACAAGTACCACAGAAGACAGTCCACACAGAAACAAGACTCCACAGAAGACAGTC